CTTTACACTAAACTGGTTCCACTACAACCAGGCAGGTGTGGGGGCACGGCGCTTCAGGGACTCAGAATCTTTCATTTTTATCAATATCACTGATAAATCATCATAAAGTAAAGTTGATGATGTGCAATCAGTGTTAGACTGCTGGAGGGAAGTGCTGTAGAGAATAATAAGCAGCAGGTACAGCCACTTATTTTCCAGGATAGTTTCCACCTGGGCCACCTACACACACACCCACAAACGAGCAAACATAACAGGTGCTACACAAACCCTGTGTTCTCCTGTTCCTGTTGCGTCTTTCCTCTGCCCCACACCATGAGGCTGTCACACAAACACTGAACAGAATGTCAATGGAGTCATGGTTCCTCTCAAACACACGCCCACGCTCCCGCCCACACAGCCTCTCAGGTCTTTCCCCGAAATGCACAGACCTGGAACATGCATTTGGTGCCACTTTCTGCCGCCGCACTGACATGCAAATGAAGAAGACTTGGGAATAGTTGGACAGATTCTGCCACCGATATTCGTTCTCAAACACAAACACGTTCAGAAATATACCACGCATCAGGATGCAAACAGTGGAAACTTCAGCTGGAATCCAACATTCCTTTCTGCCTCTTCACAGAACGCTCCCAATCAAAAATGAAATAAACGCTTCAGCAAGACAAAACAACAAAAAGAGAGAAGAAAACAGGAAGGAACTCACCACTATCTCACCGCACCCGGCCCACCGAGTCACTAACAGAGGATTCATCTCCTCTTGCAAGGACGATAAATAACCCACATCCATCCATCATCTATCCGTCATCATCCTCCATCCATCCATCCATCCATCCGTCATCCATCTGTCATCATCCATCCATCCATCCATCCATCCATCCATCTATCCGTCATCATCTATCCATCCATCCATCCGTCATCTATCCGTCATCATCCTCCATCCATCCATCCATCCATCCATCCATCCATCCGTCATCCATCTGTCATCATCCATCCATCCATCCATCCATCTATCCGTCATCATCTATCCGTCATCATCCATCCATCCGTCATCTATCCGTCATCCATCTGTCATCATCCATCCATCCATCCATCCATCCGTCATCATCCATCTATCCATCCATCCATCCATCCATCTATCCGTCATCATCCATCCATCCGTCATCATCCATCCGTCATCATCCATCCGTCATCATCCATCCATCCATCCATCCATCCATCCATCCGTCATCCATCTGTCATCATCCATCCATCCATCCATCCATCCATCCATCCATCCGTCATCCATCTGTCATCATCCATCCATCCATCCATCCATCTATCCGTCATCATCTATCCGTCATCATCCATCCATCCGTCATCTATCCGTCATCCATCTGTCATCATCCATCCATCCATCCATCTATCCGTCATCATCCATCCATCCATCTATCCGTCATCATCCATCTATCCGTCATCATCCATCCATCCGTCATCATCCATCCGTCATCATCCATCCGTCATCATCCATCCATCCATCCATCCATCCATCCGTCATCATCCATCCATCCATCTATCCGTCATCATCCATCCATCCATCTATCCGTCATCATCCATCTATCCGTCATCCATCCGTCATCTATCCGTCATCATCCATCCGTCATCATCCATCCATCCATCCGTCATCATCCATCCATCCATCCATCCATCCGTCATCATCCATCCATCCATCCATCCGTCATCATCCATCCATCCATCCATCCATCCGTCATCTATCCGTCATCATCCATCCATCCATCCATCCTTCTATCCGTCATCATCCATCCATCCGTCATCTATCCGTCATCATCCATCCATCCATCTATCCGTCATCATCCATCCATCCATCCATCTATCCGTCATCATCCATCCATCCATCCGTCATCTATCCGTCATCATCCATCCATCCATCCATCCATCCATCTATCCGTCATCATCCATCCATCCATCCATCTATCCGTCATCATCCATCCATCCATCCATCCGTCATCATCCATCCATCCATCCGTCATCTATCCGTCATCATCCATCCAGCCATCCGTCATCTATCCGTCCATCAATCCGTCATCTATCCGTCATCATCCATCCATCCATCATCTATCCGTCATCATCCATCCATCCATCCGTCATCCATCCATCCATCCTCCATCCATCCATCCTACATTCCTCCATCCATTATCCATCCATCCTACATCCTCCATCCCTCCATTATCTATCAGTCATCATCTATTCATCATCATCTATTCCGTCATCATCCATCCATCGCTGCTCATTAGCGCTTGTAATAACATGTAAATCAGGTGTTGAAACCGAATCCTTGTAAAAACTCCAGCAGGGTTGAATAATCATCAAAATCCCAACGATCATTCAGCGGGGGCTTTTTAGATTGCTACATATTGGAATTAAGGCTGACCTCCACCTGGTTGACATTCCACAGTGGGAGCCAATCGGAAAGTTGGAGCCTGGGCTGAGCTCATTGCAGGGTCCTCATGTTTGCACACATAGGTGGAGTTAATGACTGACTGCCCTAAAGAAAGTTATACGTTTTTAGACCAAACCCGACCCACAGCAGGTAGCTAAGTGGTGTTACAGCTGCTTCACGAACAGGGAATGACAAGAGAGGAAATCCCCTTTCACTGAGGTCAGAAAACACGCTTTACAACCAACAGTCCAGCCAGTGGGGGTTCCTCGCTCGTAAACTGGAATACATTTCCATATCCAAAGACAATATTGTGATGTCAACCAACAAAGTGGACTAGTCAGAGGTGTAGCCAGAACATTTTTATAAAGGTGGTCAGGCAATAACCAATGTACACTGAGGGGTGGGTGATAGTGGATAGACACCAGAACCTCAGGGTCAATCTACACTATTGCAACAGGAAAATTAACGAGCAAAACATCCATATTGTCTAAATGAAGACAAACTATACTTTCCTACAACCTTTGCTAACAAATAGACATAAATATTTAAACATCTGTGCTTTCTAGATAAAAGGTATAGTGGATAAAATACTTTGAGGTTTGAGTTCTGGGGTGAAGACCTCTTCCTTTGTCATTACTTACCTACTTTTATCAACAATTATCCTGGATAAAATGTATATTTACAAGTACTAATATCTACATAAATTGATTACGTTTTTATCAAAATAGTTATTTATCTATGATTTCACTGAAGACTCCTAGATGACATCATTCTCTTTACCCATATAACACAAAATCTAGTTTTGAAAAGAGCATGAATTCTGTACTTATCTTTAATGTTGCTATATTGATGTGTATAATTAACCAGTGTTTTTGTTGTAAAGTAATTGTTAATATACGATTAATTTAAATGTTTTGAATAGAGTATTACTGCTGTCACCATCTGTATTAGAGAGGAAAAAAATGGTAGGGGTGACCAATGATTGGCTAAGGGTGGCCGTGGCCACCCCTGGCCCCCCATCTAGCTCCGCCCCTTGGACTGGTGTAATAAGTTCACCACTGATTAGAATGTAGATGATAAACATAAAGGGCTGATAAAATGAAATATGTAAATATGACAGAACAGCACATCATTTAGTAAACTATTCCAAAGAGCGAATCAGGAATCCCAGCCATGTGCCCCACATTGATATTAATAGGGATGCACGATATAATCGGCCCCCTATCGGTATCGGCCTGTATCGGCCTTACAACTGAATATCGGACATGGGCCACCCCACCGATATTTAACCCGATATTTGATCAGCTTCTGAGTTTCTTAAGTCTAAAAAATAAATAAATACTACTACTACTTCTTCCTCAAAAACGTCTTTTTTACAGACTTAAAAACTTCTAAAGACGAGGGAAAAAATATTGATACATTAAAATATCACAATATCTTCATATGCTGATATATTGCCATTTAAAAACACCATATCAATCTCTTTTACTAATGAAATATTGCTATATGTCATTGTTATGCTACGAAATCCTAACCTGACAACAGCCAGATGCATGTCTCGCTCCGCCTAGCTCCACTCACATACATCTGGAACACTGCCATAGGAATTGCCTTTACTGAAGGCTGGGCCTTATCAAAACTCCTTGCATATGATTGGATAAGCCACTTGTCTGTCATCTTTATTGACGTGCTATTTCAACCACTCACACCGAAGCTAACCCGTGAGGCTGTGAGAGGAGGAGCCATTTGGACAAGGGCGAAAACATCGTTTCCACCAACAAAAGCCTTCAAAGCCGTTCTCTGATGTTCTTTTGATGAAACAATATCAGATAGATTGGACAACACAGAAGAAATAGCAGCATCAATGCTAACGCTTGCTTCCTCAATGCGAGCCGCCATTGTTGTTGGAATCTCACGGTCCCTTCTCCACTCCAGGACACACCCACCCTGCGTCCTGATTGGACAGACCATAAATTCGGTTGGGGAAATCACTTTCAATGAGCGGGTTCCCAGATGTATGTGAGTGGAGCTGGGCGGAGCGAGACATGCATCTGGCTGTTGTCAGGTTAACGAAATCCCCCGAAAATTCACTAAATTTTGCCATATTTTTTATATGTTGATATATTGACGCGGTATCGATCTATTTTACTAACAAAATCTCACAAGAATTTGCAAAATATCACGAGAGTTTGTAACAGAACGATGAAATTTCACGAGATTTTGAAAGTAAAATAGATAGATACCGCGTTTTTAAAAATAAATTTAATATCAGCATATGAAAATATATTTGAGTATATTATTTTTCAAAGTGTCAGAAATGGATAACAAAACTGCTATTTTCAATGACTACTTATTTTTGTGCAGCTTTAACATCGGTATCGATATCGGTTATCGGCTACATGAGTTTTAAAATATCGGCATATCGGATATCAGCCAAAATCCCAATATCCTGCATCCCTAGTTATTAATCACTATTACTATTGTTTTTATCATTGATCATTTTACTATAGACTCATTTGATACTTTCCTTTCATTTGGCTTTGACAGTGAACCAGAGCCGTACCTGCGAGGCGGATGCTGCTGTCGCTCCCTCTGCCTACCCTCCCTGGGGTTTGGAGGTCTTCCAGGTTCCCGCGGAGGCGGAGGTCCAGCTCCTGGCCCATCAGACGCACCACCCGTCTCCCTGGGGTTGGTAGGAGGCTTCCCTCCCTCTGTTGGGGGTTTAAAGGGTTTGCTAGGAGGTCCTCCAGGCTGTGGAGGACTGGGAGCCTTTTTGAGGGGAGGCTTTTCCCTGCGGGGAGGGGGGGCCACACCTGGCTTTGGAGGCATGCTGGGGAAATTGAAACACATGAACAGAACTTCAAATAATCGAAGCGAAATCTCAGAATGCAGACATTAAAATGGGTTTTTTCTCTCTATGGATATCATACACCAAAATCTAGGAGGTCTAACTAATTCAGGTAGAGAGGTAGATTTACCCCTTTGCTGCCACAGGTGGGGGGTCCGGTTTGTTCTTGGCAATCCTCTGAGGAGCTGGACTCGGTGAGGGGGAGGAGGAAAATGATCGAGATCTAAAGAAGGCAGCAGACCAAGTGCAGTTTATTTAGTTTCTGCTTTTCAGTTAGAGTTAAATCATTTTCCTGTGCAGGAGGAGGACAGTGACCAGCAGCGGGACGACGCACCTGGAGCGGCTGCCGCTGAAGGAGCTGTGCTGAGAGGAGTGGCTGGAGTAGGAGCTGTATGAAGACGAGCGGCTGCGGGAATGGGACGAGCCTGAGCCTGTGTAGGACGAAGAGCGCGACGAAGACCTAAAGGAAAATCACAAAACATAGTTTTCGAAGGATCACATCATTTTTGGCAGCACATGAGCAACAACCTGTAAACAATCAGTTGGCACGTTTACCATCCGATTGTTTACTCAAAAACTTTCACCAGATCAGCATCGAGTCTGATGGTTACAACCAACAACAGGAAATGATTGAGTCAGAGGCAAAGAACAGAGGTCCACCTCAGATGATCAGGACTTCAATCAAAGCCCCGCAGGGCTTCTGTAGTTCTGTTTTAAACATAACTAAAAACGCTGTGGTAATGTTGGCCTACTGGTTAGAGGAGTGAGCTTGGAATCCTGAGGTTCTGAGTTCGAGCCCCACTCCCACAGAATGCCACTCTGGGTCCCTTAACCCCACACTGCTCCCCGAGGTGCTGCACAATGGCAGCCGGGTGCTTCCCAAGGGAATGGGTTAAATGCAGAGGTGAATTTTTCCAGTGTGACATCAATAAAGTTTAATTACCAATTATGGACGGACTGTGCTGAAATTTGCAGATAAGGTGTGTCTCGCCCAAAGGAACAACCCATTACATTACGGTGATGATCAACATGATAATCTGGAGGTAGGAGTTATTGGATTAGAGATTAAACTGTGAGACTATTGGTCATTCTCATTACTATCTGCTCTTGGATAATTCCACATCTGAATGGATGAAAAGAGAGGTGCGTTCTCCTCGTTCCCCTGGTGGTATCGTTCTTCCAATAAGAACGCCACATAAATTAAGTTGCTTAGACTTCCATGATAAGAAAATCCTCTGCTCTGCAGAAACAGGGTTTGATGCCTCCTGGAGCCGGTAAATGCCCACAAATCAAGTTCAACAAGTACAACAGTTCCTGCTGTTTATAAGAGACAAAGGAAATCTTAAATGCTTTTTTTCCCTAAAGGTTCACACGCGATACTCGCTGGTACATCGCCGTTATGCAACAACAAACAGTTAGCATGTCTGCATGCATGATGCTTTATGTATACCTGGGTTAGGCCGGAAGTTTCCCCCTGAACTGGCGGGACACTGTCTGTACCTTGGAACAGGGAAACAAGGCAGGCGCCTGAAGAAAACCACAAGCAACAGCCGTTCCAAGCTGAAAATCCACGGATCTGTCTTAACTTGTCGCAATGAAACTGAAATCCCCAACCTGAAGTGTCAATTGATGCCACTAATAGTTTGCCATCAGCGTTTCTGTGACAACCGGATGTCCTGAGATGAGCTGCAGTGATTAGAGCTTCAGCAAGCTGCCGTACAAAGTTCAGTCTATGATAAAAAAAAAACTATCCTCATTATCCTCCAGCTGCATCTCAACCTCAACTTAAGCATCCAGCCTTAAGCCACTGGAGCTACGACGCTGAACCCAGTTCCTGAAAACCACTGCCTGTTCTCATGGAAACGGCCAGACTCAGACTGGTCCAACAGATGTCCAGATGGAGAAGAGTGTTCCCTCACTTAGAACGCTCCAGTTGCTCCTTGATTTCAACCTCTGGATCTGATCTATAAACAAGTCAACGTTGCCTGGATTCCATTAGCCTCTAATTTGAGCAGGTAGACAGGATGATCTACCAATGGTGCAAGGAATTTTGTCCTCACACTGTTATCATTAGTGTAAATATTCTTCTTCTTACTTGAATGTAAATGATCTTATTGTATTAGTAAACTGTCTAAACTGCTCAAATCAAAGGAAAATACACCTTCCTTATGCTTTATATTTTGCAGCAGATGCAGTTGCTTTCGATGCAGTGCTCTAGAGATGAAGCCCACATGATGACGTCAGCAGTGATGAAAACTCTGGGCGTCAGCATCAAGTGGCACCAACTCCACTTCAGGGCTGAGGTAATGTCTGCAGTCAGTTCCACTTTAATCCAGTGGCTTCCTATCAGTACCAGAACCCTGGAGTTCACTCAACTCTGACCATGACTCGTCTTTCACTGATGTCTGAATAAACAGTCCCAGGTTGTTCATGTCTGGTTGGGAGGGGGGGGGGGGGCAATCATGCCGATGTCAGAGAGGTTTTCAACATTATTACTGGAGATGATGTAAGTTATTGAAAAATGTATCAATCCAGAGTTGAAAGATCTTATCAACTGGTCAACAATTAATAGATAAGCAAACTTTTTAAGAACCGGAGTTCTCTCATGTGTGAAGAGGATCTTTCCATAAGTCGTAGGGAAGACATATTTAAATGTCAAGTCATTCTGGCTTAATAATGTATATAAATGTACTATAGTAGACCATATTGTCCCAAAAATTCCTATATAAAAAAAAAAAATCCTGTCTTAAAGCTACAGTGTGTAATTTTCAGCGACATCTAGCGGTCAGACTGCAGACTGCAGCAACATGAACGTCTCCCCCCCACCGCTTCTCCCTCCCAACAGTACGGCGAGCGTTACAGGACAAAATGTCTTCCACGACGTCCGCATCACCTACCTTCTCAAGTGATGAGGTTTGTTTACATAGATAATTTTACAGATAGTATTTCATTAGTCTGTTTAGGGTATAGATTTCATGTAGACTTAAGATAATAAATATACCCGTTATTTTTTCTACGTCGTTGTGACGTTTTGGTGAGCTGCTTTGCATGGTGATATAAACAGACGAAGTAATTGTAGTCATTAGTTTAACAGCGAGATTGTGTTCGCTGGAAGAATATATATTCCCCGTTTACAGAGTCCAAGTCTTGTTTGTGGCACGGGGGTTACAAGGCAAGGAAGAGGGAAAGGAAGAGGGCAGAGAGGCCGGGGTGAGCGTGCAGCTGGGGCCAGGCGAGAGAGGGGAGCCAGCGGGGTGAGAGCAGAGGAGGAAAGGCTTGAAGATCTCCAAAGGAGCTGGAGAGAAGTAACCGAGGTATATATCCAGAAAATTATTTTACAGAAAATTACTGAATCATTACCTGTGAAACGTCAGGGACGTTGCTGAATAAGTATACTGGAGAGTAACAGCATCATCACGCAGCATGTTATTGTTTTAGACAGGTCTGAGCATCCTGTACTCCAAAAACTGCAGTGATATTAGACAATTGTGTGTGTAGGATTAATTACCTGTCCAAGAGAAAACTGGCAACTTGAGCGTCACTTTGAAAACCTTTTTCCTCCATCAGTGACTTCCATCATGTAAATGCCGTGCCAATGTTGATCCGTGTTTTTTGTCGTTTCTTGTCACTCTTGCGTTTATTCTCGTCGTGTTTCCGTTTCTTAGATGACGGGGGTTCGGTGTCCGCCGCTTTTCGTTGTGATACAGAGTAGGCATGATCCTCCATTCGTCTGATGTTTGGCCACACAGTGCCAAACAGTTTGCAAAGTCACTCACGCCTGCCGCCTTGTTTACCTTTCTTGTTACCGAGGCGCAGTATACCTGCTTCTTCTTCTTCTTTGGTTTCAGGCAGACTAAACGCTTCTCAGGCATAATACTGCCATCTACTGTTCAGTACCGTCTCAGTTCATCTCTCTCAACTTGCCGTAGTTATTTTCGAGCGTCATGGGAGATCTCGCAATCGCTAGTTTGTTGCCTCTGCGCTGCCGTAGCGCAAAGATGTCTGCCTCCATGGCTGCGAGACCCGCTCCTATGTAATTATAAATAACGAATTCTAAGGCAACGCAAATATTATGGTTAAAAGGCTGAGCTCATAGGTGATGATAAATAACATAGTTATGTATAATATATTAAATTTCTGACTTTATATGCCTGTAATTATTACACACTGTAGCTTTAAAATTCAGTCTTTTTTCCCCATTATTTTATGCAGGCCAGTTAGTTATATGTCAGCCTGAACACCTAAACCCAACCAATCATATATCATCTGTCAATCATAATTTTTTCCAGTCATAGCATCTTGATTCATATGTCGCAGCTAATAAACGCAACGGCTGAAATAAGAATCATTTCCTTTCCCATTGAGACGTCTGTGTCTTCAGCAGGCGTAGAGCTAACAGAACTGGCAGCGTAGCGAGGCAAGGGCTCAAACATGTACGGCTGGAAGCCTTCTACACCAAACCAAGCTTCTGCCGCACTGGCGTACTCTTCCACAACATCTTCATCCCCGCTTTCCTCCTCTAAATAAAACATGGATGACAGAAGAGACTCATCCACGACCTCCGACACTAAACTCTCCTCCTCTTGCATGTTTCCTCTGTCCATAGCGTTCCTTGACAGTGTCGTTTCTAAGTCACTAATTTAGTGCTACTTGGTCTCAATGGAATTTCCCATTGGGAACCTACTAGCACTAAGTTGCTAACACAATCAAACTTGCTTGTCAACCTTCCGCCTATAACAATCCCGCCCCCTTGATAATCGACCAATCACATTCACTTTAATCACTCGTGTAAAGTCGTGCACTGCGCGGGGGAATTTGGAAATGCAATGGTTGGAAAGGCCGCCTCCCTACGACTTTTAACTACTTACTGACTGAATAAATAAAGCAGTTCAAACAGAACAGGAACTTATTAGGTAAATGGATTAAAGAGATGAATAAAATCGGTTAAACTTCTGATTTCCAATGGACAGAAAGTTAGATATACACTATATTGCCAAAAGTATTTGCTCACCCATCCAAATTATTGGAATCAGGTGTTCCAATCACTTCCATGGCCACAGGTGTATAAATTCAAGCACCTAGGCATGCAGACTGTTTTTACAAACATTTGTGAAAGAATGGGTCGCTCTCAGGAGCTCAGTGAATTCCAGCGTGGAACTGTGATAGGATGCCACCTGTGCAACAAATCCAGTCGTGAAATTTCCTCGCTCCTAAATATTCCACAGTCAACTGTCAGCTGTATTATAAGAAAATGGAAGTGTTTGGGAACGACAGCAACTCAGCCACGAAGAGGTAGGCCACGTAAACTGACGGAGCGGGGTCAGCGGATGCTGACGCGCATAGTGCGAAGAGGTCGCCAACTTTCTGCAGAGTCAATCACTACAGACCTCCAAACTTCATGTGGCCTTCAGATTAGCTCAAGAACAGTGCGCAGAGAGCTTCATGGAATGGGTTTCCATGGTCGAGCAGCTGCATCCAAGCCATACATCACCAAGTGCAATGCAAAGCGTCGGATGCGGTGGTGTAAAGCACGCCGCCACTGGACTCTAGAGCAGTGGAGACGCGTTCTCTGGAGTGACGAATCGCGCTTCTCCATCTGGCAATCTGATGGACGGGTCTGGGTTTGGCGGTTGCCAGGAGAACGGTACTTGTCTGACTGCATTGTGCCAAGTGTAAAGTTTGGTGGAGGGGGGATTATGGTGTGAGGTTGTTTTTCAGGAGCTGGGCTTGGCCCCTTAGTTCCAGTGAAAGGAACTCTGAATGCTTCAGCATACCAAGACATTTTGGACAATTCCATGCTCCCAACTTTGTGGGAACAGTTTGGAGCTGGCCCCTTCCTCTTCCAACATGACTGTGCACCAGTGCACAAAGCAAGGTCCATAAAGACATGGATGACAGAGTCTGGTGTGGATGAACTTGACTGGCCTGCACAGAGTCCTGACCTCAACCCGATAGAACACCTTTGGGATGAATTAGAGCGGAGACTGAGAGCCAGGCCTTCTCGTCCAACATCAGTGTGCGACCTCACAAATGCGCTTCTGGAAGAATGGTCAAAAATTCCCATAAACACACTCCTAAACCTTGTGGACAGCCTTCCCAGAAGAGTTGAAGCTGTTCTAGCTGCAAAGGGTGGACCGACGTCATATTGAACCCTATGGATTAGGAACGGGATGTCACTTAAGCTCATATGTGAGTCAAGGCAGGTGAGCAAATACTTTTGGCAATATAGTGTATCATTAATAGGCGGGGTATGTCACTAACATACTGTCAGGCTGTTTTTCTTAGTTTCAATGAAATAGCAACAACTGTGGGCTAGCCCTCTGTTTTTAGTGGAATCCATCAATCAGGGCTGGGAGAGACTGCGTTCTGTTAGCAGAGCTTTTAAACAGGCGGTTCTGGTTCCTCTCAGAAGATGTTAGAACTTGGACCAATGAAAGTCATGACCACATAAAGCTTCTCTGTCTACTATGCTAACTGCCAGCATGTCTTGCTAGCTGTCTTCTATCCTGTTCCAAACGTTTCCACTTTTCTATCATCTTCTATCACAGTTATTCCCAACAGGGGGTACTTATACCCCTAGTGGTCCGCGAGGGCATTGCAAGGGGTACATGAAAATATTTTATTTCTTAGCTAATAAAATAAAATAGGGCTGGGATCCGCTTTGCTTCCTGAGGACCAAACTGAAAAATTAAAGCAGCTTTTATCAGCCAAAAAGTAAGTTTTTCCTATATTTTTGAGTTCAACTTCAGCTTTGACACACATCCTTATAAAGCAGAGGAACAGCCTGGGATCTGCTATTTTTCACACTGAGCTATCAGAGCTCATCAACGCAGCTCCGGTGTCTTGATAAAAACAAAGTTAAACTAATTAAGTCAGTCTAATTTTTGTTTTGTACTTTGTTCCCAATTAAACTAGTTTAAATGTAATTATAAGGGAGTTACTATAAGGAGCTCCAGTTTTATAAATATAGGTTTATAATAGGATTTTATTTTGTATTTATTTAGATTCCTTATCAACTTCCAGGAAACAACTAATGTTTTTTTACTTGAGATAGAAAACTTAACATGCCTAAGAATGTATTGCTCAAATGAAAAGCTTTGGTAAAATAGTTTTTATTTTATAATCAGTTATTTTATTCTTTAATTAATTAAACTATCTCACACTGGAGAAATTCACCTCTGCATTTTGACCCACCCTCTTGGGGAGCAGTGGGCTGCCACTGTGAAGCGCCCGGGGAGCATTGTGAGGTTGAGGGTGGCAGTCTGCAGGAGTGGGACTCTAACACAGAACCTTGGGGGCCGAGTGCAATGTCCTAACCACTTCCTATTTAGGATAACTCCTGTTGTTCCCCTGCATCAAAATCTTTAGTAAAAGACTAAAGATTTATACGATCTGAAGAGAATCAAGAGTGCATTGCATGTTCCATATTTGGACAATCATTGAGACTTTTTACTGATAGGGGGTACTCATGGCAAGAAAAAATGACCAAAAAGGTACACAGGTCAGAAAAGGTCGGGAAACACTGCTCTATCAGATCAGAGAAATTCTGCTGCTCCTCCATGCAGCGCAGCTAAAAGCGCCCATTTAGGAAAGCGGAAGGAGTTTATATTTACTAACAGAACCACAGAAAGTTCCTTCTGGATCCGTGCATCCATTAAAAAATTTAAATAATCTGGAGCGGACTCTGGATCCATTCATGGTTCTGTTCTAGCATGGCTCTGTTCTGGCATGAACACAAGGCTCTACTTCAGAATGAACAGTGCTGCCCTCTAATGGAGAGCTGCTGCCCTACACTATTCCCATATTGTTGAAAAAGATGATTCATCCATCGATCCTTAAACTGCTGTTGAACATGAACACGATGCTGGGAGAAACATGTTGCAGAACTACAGTCCTTTTAATAAAAGCTAGAGATCGGAAAGAATCGATTCTAAAGCTTGAGAATCGGAATCCAATTGACATCCAGTCCCAGTTAATTATTATTCTAAGTTGAATAATTGTTTAAACTCCGTAATCAGAACCAGTATTATCTGGTTTCTTCGTCCTCCTACCTGGAGGAGTTGGACAGGGAGACAGAGGAGCCTGATGGGCGATGGCGGCGGCGCCCTCGTGGTGGCGATCCCAGGCCGCCACGTCTCCTGGGAGATTTGGACCGTCGCCATGGGTCCTTCCACTCGTCTGGACGCCTCATGAGTGGAAGCAGCTCTTTCTTGGAGGGAGGTTCCATTAGCCTGCTGAGAAAAACAGACGATCTGCTGGTTTCTACTGCTGCTTTAGCACCAACGGTTCAGAAAAGATGGGAATAGTTAAAAATGTGGAGAATGTTGATTAAAATCATACAAAACTTGGAAAATAATCAGAGTGGGTCCAAACACCATCTCCTCCAAGATTCATTTCCAAAAACGCAATGTCAGCTGAGCTCGTCTTCCCTGAATTCCTTCATCGGACACGACTGATCTTTATTTGGATGAAAACTTATTTTGTTTCTGCAGATATCAAAATACATGATAAAATAAGAGATGGAGTCTAATAGGATGGGAGGAACACAGTTTGCACCCTGAAGGCAGCTTCCAGCATTAGGACCGTGTTAAATCTATATCTGGTCGTATCTGTAGCAACGTGTCGTTAAAGAGGAGAGACAGCAGTGCTCTGACCTGCTTTTCATTGCCTAGTCAGCCAGAGCCGAGCTGAGTGGGGAACTCAGAAGCAGCTGTGGTAAAGGTCAGGCATGTCCAAATAGCAGCGGCCTCTGAGGGAAATTTACATGCCATTGTTTCCCAGGTTTAATCAAAGTGCCCAACAGAAAGAAAAACTAAAGCTGCTGCTTATTTCTCACTAATTTATAGGTTTCACAGAAGCAGTTTAATTATTCTCAAACTCCACACACATGCTGTGCAACCAGATGATTGAGGACATTCTACTGGACTAAGGTCATGGTTCTACAGAAGCCCAACACGCCCATCTTTGGGTTCACATTCCCTCTGAACCGTTTTCCGTGTTCCCGCCTGTTTTCTACAACCAGAATCAGACTGGTTACTCTAAGGAAAAAGTTTTAAAAAATGGCAGAAAAGTTTGATGAAAAGAAAACGGCAAACAGAAGCGGAGAGGCGGGTATTACCCTAAGATCGTTTATTTAACCGTGTGGAAGAAACGAGGCGCTTTAGAAGTCTCCATGATAAGGTTTGTCTGAATACAGCCGGCAGGAAGGAAGGAGAGAGGAAGCTTCCTCTTTTCTTCCTTCCTGCCGGCCAGCTGTATTCGGGAAGGAAGAAGGAAGCTTCCCATCGTAGCTCCTTTAGCAGAGGGCCCTCCTGACGTTGCCATCGGCAGTTAGGAGCTATATTGGGGCGACGGCTGTGCCAGAAAAATGAGCAGGGATGTGTGGGGGAAAAATCAATACGGCGATATCAGGGTTTATACAAGAATGAGTAACTAATGCTCTTTAATGCTCTTAGAAATCATTTTAATCCCATCAACAAGAACCCATGACTCTCATATATAAACGGCAAAATGACGCAGTGCCGGGATGAAATGTCTTTTATGGAGGACATTTCATATATAACATTCATCTTTCAGTTCCTAATATCGGTTTTAAATAAACAAAAACATTTTTACCTAAAACAATGCGGGAAAACGGGCTACCTCTGGCAGAGGCATGAAATATATGCAGCACTTGCTTTATTATTCATACATTTAAATTTGATAGCTAAGGAAAATATAGCAATATACAGTGATCTTTATCATGATAATATCGTATTGTGACCCAAGTATCGTGACAACTATTGTATCGCAACACCCGTGCCAATACTCACTCCTATAATGGAGTTTATGCTGCAACCGGAGATGTGTCGGTTAAGGCTTTCAACATTGTTGTGCCCTTGGGCAAGGCACTTGACCAGCATTGCCTACTGACGGTGTAGGTACCAGATCTGCTCGCTTCTTATGACATCATCATCATATGGCAACTCCACTCGGACAAACTGTATTTCACCCGTTTCTTAAGGATCAGATCTGTTCCGGAGTCTCAACATATTATTAACTATATTTGTTATTATTTTACATTTCATTCAATTCAATTTTGTTCATTTACATATTGCCAATTCACAACACTTTACAATGAAACCAGATCATCCAGTCAGATTGATTCAAAGTTTTCCATCTATGGAAAACCAGGTGATTGCATCGACTCATCGACTCAAATGCAATCCCTCACACTAAGCATGCAGTCTAAAGTAGAAAACATTAATATTCATTCTTGGAGGAAAGCACTGACTTCTAAGACTGAGCTCTGCCATTTATTAAGGTGACATAACAAGTCTCAGCTAATTTTTATTCTTTTACTTATGAGGGTAGAGGAGGAAAAATTGAACATCTTACAAATGGACAAAGAAAACAACAGTTATTCTACCAGTAGAAAAGGAACGGTTGTTGTTAACACAGAGTTAAAAGTAGTGTAGCTTAATATGGCTAACTGACCGACCTAAAATACCGTAGGCTAACCTGTTAGCTACTGAGAACAGCTAGCCAAAGCGCTACCCAGCTCTCCACCTTTACATCGTGGTCTTGCAGTTACTTTTTTCACCACAAACTTATTTTTTTTGTTTTATTATCGGTTTGCTATTATTTATAATTCTTTTGTTATTATTTGTTAGAGGTAAAACTTCATCAATCATTAGACACGCTAATGCTACAGATGCTGATTATGTTATTATCGTTGTCTGGTAAACCCCAATGATTTCCTTCATGTGGCAACATTCAGCCAATTGTGTAGCGAAACGTCACCGTCGTGCACAAGGGCCCGAGCAAATCACCGCACAACTGGCGGCGCTGGGCCCTGTCTGATTGGGCCCCAGGGCAGCTGTGGCTAACTGGAGAACAGGTCATTTCCAGATACGGTTTCCCACAGGAACAGGAGCTACAATTTGGATTCAGCCAGCTGCCATCTAAATCAAATACTTCCTCATAGCATCGAGCTTCGCTGCCTTTTGACCCAAACAGCTGTGAGAGAGAGCCTAGGATAAACCACACTGGATTTCTTCCTATTGCAGCATCAAGTCTTCTTCTCAAGTGTGTGAATAAATATTTGTTGGAGGAAAAAAGCAGAGGATGTGGCTGATAAATAAAACTGGCGGATGGTAGAAGTCTGCAGCAGTCTTGGGTCCAAGTCTAACCCGCCAGTGGGTGTGAAGTGTTTGGTCTATGTGGCTATTGCAGCATGACCCAAAGACGTGAAACGTTTAATATGGCATCATCAAAGTTCAAACACTGTGAGCCAGCAGCACGTTCATGGGCTGCAGTGAATGAGGTCACAGGCATGATGCAACAATAGCCGAGTCAGCGTGTAGAGGCTAAAAATAGAAAGACAACATGAGATATTTTTAGATCTGTCTTATCAGCTTAGGTTTTCTTTTTCAGGAAGGAATGGATGAAGGAAGTGGGACACATAAAACCGAGCGGCGAGGAACATACAATGAAAGATAATGAAATGTTTGAAGACTTTATTAAAGAGCCTGACAAGACTGGTGGAAAAACGTGCGTGGCAAGTGGGTGCGCCGTTTACGAGCTGAACTTTGCATAACCCAAAAGAAACGCGGCCTGTTGTGAAGGTGAATGAAAGGAAACAGGATCAAGCCTGGAGTGAAAGAGGAAAAACTGCTTTGCACTCATCAGTCCTGGAAAGTAAGTTTAAATATATGAAAGGGGTTGTGTTCCTTTCCAGTGTTGCTTTGTTTTAGTACGCTTTGGCGATAAAAGATTAAAAATTAGAAGGCAATCCAAACAATAACGACCTGTTGACGTCAAATCCAGGAGTCGGAAAGAAACGTCAAAGCTGTATGAAAAGTTGCACAATTCCTGATGCATGAGAACAGTTCTGCTCTCAGAAGGTGCATCAACTCCACCTAACTAGAGACACCATATCAGCACAAGGGCCCTATTTCAGCCTGATCGGTACAGCCAACAGCGCAGGACTCTCTCAGGGCAACAGGCCTAAGGTCGCTAAGGACTTTTGGCTGAGTCTTATTTGGTACTGGAACCAGGTTAAGACTAAAGTTGAAGAGGTGCTGTAGAATCCCTCAGAGCTGTTCTGCAGAGGCCTTCAGGACTTTGGGTCTGACACCATCAGGAGCTGGTGATTTATTATCTCCAGTTGCCTCTTTATACTTGACTTCTAGAGATAGACATGTGAAAGGTGGAGGGAGAAGCACCATCTTCTGATCAGTGGCAGAGGAGGGCAGGAGGTCCACAGCTTAATGCTGCGTTCACACCGGGGGCAGCAAAAGCAGCAAAATTGCGTCTGCTGCTTCATTTTTGCTGCTTGTACCAGTAAAGTTCTGACGCGCGGCTGAAGCAGCTTTGCTGCTCTGGCTGCGCGGTCCAAAAGTGGCTCTGACGCTCGTTGGGCGGAGCTTCACTATCCTTTCTCTGCCTTGCAGCTATATTTGCTGTGATCAGTGGGAATAAAGTAGTTTTAATATGTTTTTAAGTGAGAAAATACACCTGAAAACTTCATCAGTGCAGTCAGTTCATCCAGATTACCATCCTGCCTCCCAATATTATTTCTGTCGGAGCCGCTCAGACCCCCACATACCGGCGGTGCGCCGACAGAAGGAATCCATTCATCAGCAGCCTCTGGCGGGTCGCCTCCTCGCGGTTTACCGCGGCGGCTGGTAGGTGTTTTTCATCTAAATAATCCGATCTGCAGGCACCACAATAATAAAAGCGAACATATTCTGCCGGCAGATGTATATATTTTAAGTTAATTATGCGTTAATAAACTGTTTAAGAGGAGTAATCAGAGCGGTCTGTGTCATCAGCGCTGTGTCTCTCTCCCAGCCAGCTCCCAGATCAGCTTCTCTGATTGGTTGACGCGGTGCGTCGAGCAGCAAAAATTTAATTTTTCCATCTCGAGCAGCAACGCGTTTGCGGCGCGTCAGATGCCAAAACGCGCCCGACGCGCTGCTTCAGCTGCTCAGACGCGCTGCGCTTGCTGCTCGAAACGCGCCGCGGGACCTTTTGCTGCGCCTTGACGCGCGTCAACCATTGACTTTGCATGTAAACTCGCTGCTTCTGTCGCGCCAGCTGCCCCCGGTGTGAACGCAGCATAAAGGTCCGTTAAGCTGAACGCTGCTCCTGTTATTCTCCTGTAGGACATTGGCCAATATAATGATCCCCTGTAGACCTTGTTGGCTCTAGATGATGCAGCTAAAAAAAGCATCAACCTTTCATGTCTGCTTGAACCCCAGTCGGCCTCAGCAGATGGCCGCTCACACTGAGCCTGGTTCTGCTGGAAGTTTTCTCCTGTTAAAAGGGAGTTTTTCCTCCCCATTGTCGCTACAAGCATGCTTAGTGTGAGGGATTGCAATCGAATCAATGAGTCGATGCAATCAACTGCTTTTCCTTAGATAGAAAACTTTGAATCAATTTGACTGGATGATCTCGTGAGCTGGCGCTATACTAGGGTGTAAGTTTGCGATAAAAGTTGGTGAGGACGTTCTAAGGATAGCGGCTGGTGGAACTACAGATACTCAACCCAAACACTTTCAATAGAGTTTATACTTTCCAAAAATGAGCTCAAACATACATTTATTGAATGCTTTCCTATTGTTGAGAACACGAGAGTACTACAGTATACTGATATTTATAGACAGATGCTTGCCTTTAGGGCATCATTTATAAAGTGCACAAAAACAATGTATTAAAAAAATGGCCAATAACAGCCGATATCCGATGCCAACAGCAACATATCATGCATCCCTAGTATAGAAACAACTTCAAATCCATGCATGGCTTCCTTTTAAAATGCATCAGTGATTATCCTCCTTCACAAGCAGTAAAATCTAATTTGGAAATTTGTTCCAAATGTTGTTAACAGCCAAAGTCTATATATTGAACCGTATATTTCAAAAATCATTTATACACTGATTTTTATTATTTGTGCTGGGTTGGCTGATGCAGCTATTTCTGAGTCTTGCTTAACTACAAAAGAAAAAAAAATATGTTGAATTTTATTATAACATTGCATATTGTTTCTTGTAAACTTGGAGATATATTTTATTGCATGTTGCATATCCCAGTAAATCTGTTTCACCTTTAAATCTGCAGCTGTCCCTAATTGTGTCTCTGCTCTGCTTAAACACAGATTTTGGCACCTGTCTACCAATATATTGATGCCAGAGAAACTATTTTTCAAAGTATCTAGAAGCTTTGCAGTCAAATTCTCTGTTCAATAAGAAAACAACATATACGTGTTTTAATCAGTAACTCTGAGTAATGGTCTTTTTTAACTTATATAAATGTACACTCTGTTGCCATTTTTAGCTGATAAAGCTCCGTATGTGTAACGAACGGATTTTTCAGTGGCATCTCTTAATTTTTTTAACCAACCTATCTCTTAACTTTTACTGAAACATATATGGAAGTAGCTGCTGGTTGAAATTCACTGAGTGCTGCTGTGTCTCTGTTCCTCCACGTAGCTACTCTGTACGCAGTGAACAGCGACCCCAAATAATATTATGTCCCAAAGCGACAGATCCGATGATATTTCAAGAGTTGGGACTCGAGAGCGAGGAAAAAACGAGGACTGAAAACACTCTGAACACAGACCTGCACTTAACCCTAGTTACTGTTGGCTAAAGTAAATCAGCGACAAGGGGGAAAAAAAAAAATCGGAAATAATTGGTGGGGACTGTCCCCTCTATGCCAAAGCTGGTGGGGACATGTCCACACCAGTCCTTCAGAGGGTTACCCCAGTGGCGTTAGAGAAATATACTGAATTGAAGTGAAGATCAGCTGGTAAAGATATGTATTGATCAGTGTTTTGTTTGCTTGTTCTTAATAAGGATCAATGGAAACGCCTGAACTTTAACTGGACGCCTAACTACTAACCCAAACATTCCTCTAGAAACCAGCCTGCCTTAGCTTGGCTGTGAGGAGCTAAATCTTTTCCCTGCCTACATCCACAGAAAACCATGTGGTTCTGAATCAGAGTGAAAAAGTTATCTGTAAAACTTTCTATTGATGCTGATCAGGTATCTTTAAAGGAATAGTACACCCAAAACATGATTAGCCTTCATATTCTACTCACCCCCATGCTGAACAACACTCTGGAGTACTTTTTTGATATCTCAAATGCATCTGGAGATCTGGGAGGCTTCTTGCTGTCTGCTGACATTCAAATAATGGAGGTCTATGGTGCCCGAGGCAGAAAGGTCCATAAAAGTTCACAAAGAACGTGTCAATATTCCTCCATACTGCTCGTCCAATGTATTCCAAGTGTCCTGAGTGGGTAGCGTCCAGAATTTACTCGAAACGAAGTCATTTAGAATGTTTTTAGAGCATAAACAGTAGTGGATAGGATTTCCTGAAAGCTCGTTCACGAGTCTACAGAAACCGCGGCAGACCAAACCAGATGAAAGTGCGCATTCAGCTCGGCAAAGAACTCATGCTCTTCCTCAACACTGAGTTGAATGCGCACTTTCATCTGGTTTGGTCTGCCGGCTTCCGTAGCGTCTTAAAAGCGCAGGTGCGCGCTTTCAGGAAATCCTATACACTACTGTTTATTCTCTAAAAACATTCTAAATGACTTCGTTTCGAGTAAATTCTGGACGCTACCCACTCAGGACACTTGGAATACATTGGACGAGCAGTATGGAGGAATATTGACACGTTTTTTGTGGACTTTTATGGACCTTTCTGCCTCGGGCGCCATGGACCTCCATTATTTGAATGTCAGCAGACAGCAAGAAGCCTCTCAGATCTCCAGATGCATTTGAGATATCAAAAAAGTACTCCAGAGTGTTGTTCAGCATGGGGGTGAGTAGAAAATGAAGGCTAATCATGTTTTGGGTGTACTATTCCTTTAACTATATACTGATTGATTCCTCAGCCCCACCTGCCACCTCTAACAGATCAGCAAATGAAAGGAAAAGGTGCAGCTGCAGTCGTTCTTTAACCACTATTCATTAACCACAGCTCAATATCAGGCAGAAATGCCTGAGGACATGATGTCATTCAGCAATTATTAATCTGCTGTGTCACAGACGGTCCGTCATCACTGAGATTAATTAGTCAAACTCAAATATCCTTACTTAGGCGGCGGCGGCCCGAGCGGGGAGCGTGGCTTCAGCTTGTCCTCCTCCTTCTTCTCCCTGGCTTCGCGAGGAGGACGCATCTTGGGCCTCTCCTTCTCGTTGCGTTTCAAACGCTGCGTTTCTCTCTCCCACTCCTCTTTCCGTCGAATCCTCTCCTTCTCGCGCTCCCGCTCTCGTTCCCTCTCCCGCTGCCGGCGCTCCCTCTCGCGGTGATCTCGCTCCCGCTCCCTGTCTCGGTGACGCTCCCGGAGGTCGCGCTCGCGCTCCTGCAGAAGTTGGTAGTAAGGGACAAAATGAAATGTCTTTTCCTCATCAGACAGGCTTAGTTCGTGTGGCCTCAGACCCTCTGAGCATCTTCCAGCCATCTTCTTTTGTTTCTAGCTGGTCTATGTGCCACTTTACATATTACTCTTGCTAATTTGGCACCTGTTAAGCTCAGGAGTGGAGGGGCACAGAGCAGACTGAAACATCAAAAATGAGGCAACCTCTATTCCAAGCAGAGGCAGAAGAACGGGCACTGTTTCACAAATACACATATGTGATTTATACATGCACAGGACAGGATCCACACACGCACAGCACGATTCACGTAAGCACAAAAAATTCCCCACACAAAGGACAAGATTCACAGACAGACAGAATGATTCACGCAAGCACACAAGATCCAAACATGCACAGAACAACATTCACCAAAGTATTTCTGGTCCATAAACAATTATAAATTAAATTACAAACTACCAGTGGTTTTTAAACTTCACTGCGTTTGTGTGTGGATTTTTGAGACTTCCTTGACGTTTCTCGATACACAAATGCATTTTTTTTAAACAGGGGATGGTTTGCGACCAATCTCAGAGCTCCCTTGCATAAGCCAATTACAAGAAACGCACATCCTCCATATGCTCCTCGCTCCACTCCAGACCGCCTGCGCAAAGCAAAGCCTACATCCTCCACGGTTCCTCCCGTTCTGCTCCACTCCGACTTCCTTGGAGCCCGAGGGAAGCATGCGCTGTATTATCATTTAAAGTCGTAGGGAAAAAGCCATTCCAAATGTTCCGAATTCTCCAGAGTGGTGCCGACTTTACATGAGTGAATTAAGTGAATGTGATTGGTCGATTATAAGGGGGTGGGATTGTTGTGGTGGAAGGTTCGCAAGCACGTTTAATTGTGGCCAGTTTCTCTGAAACATCTTGCTAACCAGTTAGCAACTTAGTGCTAGTAGGTTCCCAATGGGAAATTCCATTGGGACCAAGTAGCACTAAATTGGTGACTTAGAAACGACACTGTCAAGGAACGCTATGGACAGAGGAAACATGCAAGAGGAGGAGAGTTTAGTGTCGGAGGTCGTGGATGAGTCTCCTCCGTCATCCATTTTTTATTTAGAGGAGGAAAGCGGGGATAAAGTTGTTGTGGACGAGGACGCCAGGGTGGCAGAAGCTTGGTTTGGTGTAGAAGGCTTCCAGCCGTACATGTTTGAGCCCTTGCCTCGCAACGCTGCCAGTTCTGTTAGCTCTACGCCTGCTGAAGACACAGACGTCCATCCCAGTGAACACTGGGATGGAACTCAATGGGAAAGGAAAGGATTCTTATTTCAACCGTTGGTTATATTAGCTGCAACATATGAATCAAGATGCTATGACTGAAAAATTGGATTTACAGATGACCGTTGATACATGATTGGCCGAATTTAGGTGTTCAGGCTGACGTATAACTAACTGGCCTGCAGAAGATGACAAAAAAAAACAAACATATATTTTAAGACATGATTTTTTTTTTTTAAATAGAAATTTTCTAAGTTTTGGGGCAATATTGTTTGATAAATAGTGCATTTATATACATGTTTAAGCCAGAATGATTTGACGTTTAAATATGACTTCCCTACAACTTTAATACATGGGGAGAAAAACCTGCGGTAATGAACGCTTAATTTAATATGATATAATCAAATCTCATCATCAGCATCAAACTCAGCATCTCTTCATCCATGCCTGCGATAAGTCGTTTCTTTCGAACTTGTGAGATACGCTCTTGGAAGTTATTGTGACTGGATTTGATGAAACTTTTAAGCCTCTCAGTATAAAATAAATATTTTTATCAAGATGAGAAACCTACTTCCTGGTATGTTGAAGTACCAAGAGTTTGCAAACAATAATTAAACGGTCTTAGTTTTGGGGATTTTTTTAGAATTATGCTAATTTCTAGTTACCCGTTTACCATATTTTAATTTAACAAACCGGATCTTCTCAGCGTTTTTTTTCTTGTTTGGTGCGATTGCAATAGCGGACCTTGACCTGGCTGGACCGTAGCTAAAAATAGCTCAGCTCCGTATTCTGACGGTGAAGGACAGAGATGATGTACATGGACGGTGACGTATGGAGGAGTAGAGGTGGAACAGTTCTTATTGATTAACACCAGTGTGAAGTGCCCTGCACAACGTTAGCGGGGCGGAGCAGAGTATGTGGAATCTGGGGGCAACTTAATTTATGGACCAGAAATACTTTGGGTTATTTGTGCTTGTTTGAATCGGGCTGTGCTTGTGTGGATCTTGTCCTGTGCATGTATGAATCACACATTTGTATTTGTGAAAATTGAGACTGATATAGCTCCATAGCTTCTCAACCGTTTACTAAAACCACATCAAGCTGCAGATAAACCAGAGAGCTGTCAGTGGGGCTGAAACCATTCATGGGTATTCCATCGTCAATGTAATATAGCACTAACTGGAGAGAAAAGACATCAAAATAAGTCATTTGCTCAAAGGACGACTCAATCTGTACAGCAACCAAGCCAAAACTGTTCAGAAAATATAAACATTTTCCTTTTAAGATACAAACTAAATCTTTGACATACAGAAGGTCTCTGCTGGCAGCTTTAGCTTCCTCTGGTCCAAACTGTCCTTTCTTTTAACCGTTAACCATCAGCTACCATCTGCATTAAACTAAGAACTTACAGGTTTTCTACATTTTATTTTTGCCATTTCCAATTAATTTCCAAAATGTAAAACTGTTTGTAGATTGTGGAATCGTTAAATGAATCCATGACTAAATAAATCAATAGCTGCAGAGAAGCAGTTTAACCTTTTCTAAATAAATCCAGAGCAGATTCAGTGACTTGATGCACCCACTGCTTCGATCCCAGAGATGCGGAGTGATGCTACTTACGTTGAAGTGGTACGGAAGAGGAGCCTCGGTGTACTGAACCCTGAAGTTCTCATACTGGCCGCCCCTCCACAAGGCTTCCATTTCATAGTCGTAGTACGGGTCAGCATAGGGCTCGCTGCAGACACAAACACCAATCAGAACATTTGCTTCCATATAAAATGAAACAAACAATCAGGACAGAATTAGTTCCCAGACTCAATCCTGACAAAATAAATCTGAAATAACCCCCCCGATGTACTCAACATGATTCATTCGACCGTTTCGGGTGTAGAAGGAACCACAGATGGCAGCAGCTTCATAAGATCATGTCTGAAAAGCTCAGCAGCTTCAGTGGTTTGCAAACACTTTGCCAAGATGGCAAAACATCAGCAAAAACCTCAGAGGGAAAAAAAGTGCTGCAGCAGATCAACCTGTGAAGGTTCAAAGGTCACCATCTGAATTCCAGCAAAGGAGTAGACATCCCTTCTTATCTTAAATCAGACCCTGTCAGCAAAGTCCAGAGGTCTGTGAGGAGATACCCCTGCCTATTGTGGATGTTGATAATAAAACTTTGCAAATGCTCCAGCTATTGCTAAAGGAGCAGCTCAAGTAGCTTAAGATGATTTACGTGTTTTGGCATGAGCAGGACTGGCACTCACCCATAAATAGGGTCTCTGAAGTCCATTTCCCTGAAAGAAGAAGAGAAACCATGTGAGTTATTCGCCCCAAACAGCAGCTGCGTCCAGGTTCTGACGTTAAGATGTGTTTGAATGAGCCTGTAAATGTCCTGCTGTCATTAATGTCCAATAAGCTGATTCCGGTGGGCTGAATCAGAACCCCAATGAAACCTGAAGGACCCTGACTTGAGGGGTTCCTGCCAGAAACTGGCTGCTAACGGCCAGAAACGGGCTACTAACAACCAGAAAACGGCTACTAAGTCGGACACAGGCTGCTAACGGCCAGAAACACTGCGTAAACAATCAGAGCGGGCTGCTGACAGCCAGAGACAGGCTGTTAACAGCCAGAATCAGGCTGTTAACAGTCAGAAAAGGGCTGCTTATAGTCAGAAATAGTCTGGTTTTAATATCTCAATCAGATTCTGATTTCACTCTGATTTTGCAGAATCCAACCACAATGTCCTGACATGTTCAGTCTGATTTAGAATATATATATATTAGGGGTGGAACGATTCACAAAATCCACGGTTCGGTTCGATTCACAGTTTCTGGTCACGGTTTTCGGTTCGATTCGATACATGTTGATTGTTACACCGAAATCCCATTAAAAATTATGAAATTAATGAAAAAAATCCCCCCAAAAATAATGGATTGTAATTATTTTAAATGATCCGCGGAAACCCTGGATCATTTCCGTATGTTTTGCTGCTTTGAATTTAATCATCTGGCGCATGCTCTCTAACCTGACAAGAGCCAGATGCATGTCTCGCTCCGCCACATGCATCTGGCTGTTGTCAGGTTACATGCTCTCTACCATCTCCAAGGAACTCAGAGGGGAGTGGACGAAGCCACAGCGGGGGCTGTAGGCTTTGCTTTGAGCAGCCGGTCTGGAGCGCAGCAGGGCGGAGCGGGGGTTGCTGACGGAGTATGAGGGATTTCGGGGTTAGCATGACATGTTGCTGTTAGCATAAACAAAACGTGTTGCACAATGCTTGCACACTGTTGTACTTTTATCCACAACTTTCTTTCCGCCGTCATCGTAGGTCACTCTAAATGCAAAGTGGTCCCATACAGCAGACCTATAAAGTGCTGCTGGCGCGTCTTCCAACTCCTGTTCTTTCCCACTCGCCATACCCACACAATTCTCCACAACAACTGATTTTTTTCCCTGCTACACCCGGCTAAGCTGCTTCCTTCTTCTTCTTCTTGTTTACTACTGGCGGTTGGCTTTGGTCGCAGTACCGCCACCTTCTGCTCTGGAGTGTAATCCCTTCCTCTATGAAAAAAAGGAGCAGCGCATGAACCGAACGAAACACACGCGAACCGAACCGAGACAGTCGAACCGAACGATTCTGACAGTTTTCATAAATCGTCCCATCCCTTATATATATATCTATATATCTATATATAGATATATATATATAGATATATATATATAAAGACAAAATATGGCGCCCAGGTCCAAAACAAGCCCAAACCATGAGCCCTCCACCTCCGTGCTGGACAGCTGGAATGCAGAGTTATCCAATGAGTACATGAACAGCCATGACTGTGATTGGACCGTCACATGGCAGTCAGACCTCTCCGAATGAGGGTGGGATCAATGGATCTGACTGATCCTCATTGTTAAACCAAAGACTAGATCTACCCTATATTAGGGCTGCAACAACGAATCAATAAAATCGCCGCCGTCGTCATCACTGCCACTTGAGTGAACCGCGGGAAGAAAAAAAAATAAAAGGAAGAGCGAGCCAGCGCCGCAGCTGAGCAAAGGCTGTTTTCAAAAGGCAGTAACGTCAACTGTTCTAATGACCGATACCGCAAACGCAAGCTGCGTCTCAATTCACAGATAGCCTGCGCTTTGTAAAGCGAAAAAAGTTGTAACATGCAACTTTTGTAAAAACAAATGAACATGGCACGGAAGCACCACTGTTTTGATGCAGCACCTGAAAAGAAGACAAGATGGAGCCTTGGATGGCAGTGAAGAGAGCTGATCAGCAGGATGAGCGACTTTGTTTGTTTGGTTTTAAAGTGGGGAAACGTAACGTTAGTTTCTCTGGTAGCTCATCTGATGCTTTCCTTACCGTGTTAGTAGGTTACAGACAGTGATAAGGTTGGCTACTTATTTTACTTTTAATTTCATTTGAATTAGCTTAAGCAGCGTTTATATTTTCTTTATAAATAAATTAACTTGCAAATTATGAGGGCAAGACTTTTAAAGTTTAAATCTTCTGCCAAAGATAAAGTAAAGAAGATCCTGCAATTTATGGAAGTAAAGCAGAATAAAATCCAGCAAGATCAGTAATATGTCAATTAATTATCTGCCACATTTCCATGTAAATATCTGTCTTTGGAGGATGTGTTTTTTAGCACCCCTAGTTCTCTCATTTTTATTCCAAATACAATTTATAATTTGAATCACAGGGCTATTTTTATCTCTATGGTTCAGTATTTTCTCAAGTAGCAACTTTAACTGCTGTACTTTCCTGTCTGAAAAGGCAGAACTCTTCTAGTCTAAAAAAAACTCATTTGTTGAAATGGGGGGACCTGTTGTTTGAGCCCCTTAGGGGCTTTTAAAAACAAAAATGTCTTTTTTTGCACTTTATGAAACAAATAACCCTATATTTTGTGGATGTACAGCTACATTTCTCATGTAAGTTTGCGTAGTTTTAACACAAACATTTATTTTTCATATTGCACCAGTACAGTTAATGAGCAACCTGTACTTGTGTGCTTGTTTGTTCTGTCTAAAATGTTTATTTTGGAATAAAGAGTTTAATACAAAAAAATTTTTTTGTCCGATTCATCAATTAATCGAAAAAATAATCGGCCAATTCATCGATTTTTTAAATAATCGTTAGTTGCAGCCCTAATCCTAATCAAGGACCATCTAGATCAGGAACCTCCTTAAGACCCCCTCCTATCCTTTTCTCCTCCACCATTAGCTCCAGTCTGTCGCGTTGTTAGAAGATGTGCGTCTGTGCGCGGACATGCTGTGTTTGTGGGACGGCTGCATGTGAGCGTGTCGTACTCTCGGATGATCCGGTAGCTGCGTTCTCTAAAGAACTCGTTCTCTTTGTCCAACTCTCTCTCGTCCTCTCCGATCGTCACATTGAAGCGCTTCTCCTCAAAGTCGGGCTCCTGCTCTTTGCGGATGGTGGCTTTCTTCAGCACCTACAAGGAAACACCAAAACTGTGAGACTCACTGACACCTGCTGATCAAACCTGCAACAAAATTGGTTCGTCTGCTGCATATCCATCCACCAGTGTTTAATTCTGTGACCTGACCCAGAGGGAGCATCCATAGTTTCAATGCAACAAACCTCCAGTGGAGCCAGAAGGTTTGAATTGACTCAACTGTGGCGGGGCCAAAAGGGCCCTACAGGTCTAAGCTACCCTGGGGTTAATAACACATCCATGAAGATAGTGAAGGTAGAGATCCAAACATCTACTGATCCTGAAAGGATGTCAGAACATGGAGGTTCCTCCTGATTGGCAGCGCTTACCTCTTTGGCGTGCCTCAGTCCTCTCTCCCAGGCGCTCTCCACAGGAGGCTCCACCGGCGGAGGCGGGGGAGGGAGCTCCTCCACCACAGGAGCAGCCTGCAACACGGAAACACTCGGTCAGCCTCCCACAGACAGGGAAGCTTCCAGCTCATGTTTACATGGAGATGAACTCACCCAAGGACTGTTAGGGATGAGAGGCAGGGGTCCTCCAGGGGGCGCTCCATTGGGGGAGAAAGGGTCAGGCTTGCTGATGAGAGAGTAGTTCCCCTTGTCGTTGACTCCAGGGTGGATGAACCTGCAGTTCATCCCCCAGGTACAGTTTCCTGAACAGAACATAAACCATGACTGATCAGACCCAGAAACCAGACCGATTTGATGCGATTGGTTAAAGTCGTAGGGATATGGCTGTTCCAACTGTTGCATTTCCGAATTCTCCCGAGTGGTGCCCGACTTTACACGGGTGAATTAGGTGAATGTGATCGGTCGATTAACAAAGGGGATGGGATTGTTGTGGTGGAAGGTCCGCAAGAAAGTTTGATTGTGGGCGGTTTGTCGGAAGCATCTTGCTAACCAGTTAGCAACTTAGTGCTAGTAGGTTCCAAGTAGCACTATATTGGTGACTTAGAAACAACGCTGTCAAGGAACACTATGGAAAGAATAAACATGCAAGAGGAGGAGTTTAGTGTCGGAGGTCGTGGATGAGTCTCCTCCATCATACATTTCTTATTTAGAGGAGGAAAGTGGGGAGGAAGATGTTGTGGAAGAGGACGCCAGAGCGGCAGAAGCTTGGTTTGGTGTAGAAGGCTTTCAGCCGTGCATGTTTGAGCCCTCGCCTCACAACGCTGCCAGTTCTGTTAGCTCTACGCCTGCTGAAGACACAGACGTCCATCCCCGTGAACACTGGGACAGAACTCAATGGGAAAGGAAAGGATTCTCATTTCTTATTTCAGCCGTTGCGTATATTAGCTGTGACATATGAATCAAGATGCTATGACCGAAAAAATTTGATTGACAGATGACCTTTAAAGCTACAGTGTGTAATTTTCAGCGACATCTAACGTCCAGACTGCAGCAACATGAACATCTCCCCCCCACCGCTTCTCCCCCCCAACAGTACGGCGAGCGTTACGGGACAAAATGTCTTCCACGACGTCCGCATCACCTACCTTCTCAAGTGATGAGGTTTGTTTACCGTATTTTCACGACCATAAGGCGCACCGTACTAAAAGGCGCAGTCTCAGTTATGTGTCCCATTTCTGTATTTAACACAGACATAAGGACTATAGGGCGCATTTTTTATATACAGCTACATGTCCTCTACTACCTTTAAATAGCTCTACTGCGTATTTTAAAAATACAGCGGGCCCAAAACTGAGTATGACTGTGCTTTATTCATGTATTTATTACAAAGTATTAATCAAACCTGCGAGCTGGCCATGAGACAGACACATCGCAGATGACACAGCGCTGTGATTACTCCTAAATTAACTTAAAATCCTGAAACCTGCCGACGGAATATGTTCGCTTTTATTGCCGGTATCCTGGTGCCTGCAGTTTAAATTATTTAGATGAAAAACACCTGCCAGCCGCCGCGGTGAGGCTGCTGTTGAAGGGATTTCTGCTGTCGGTGCACCGCTGGTATGTGGGGGTCTGAGCGCCTCCGACAGAAATAGATAATCTGGATGAACTGACTGCAATTAAGTTTTCAGGTGGCCTTTCTCACTTAAAAACATATTAAAACGACTTTATTCCCCCTGATCACAGCAAATATAGCTGCAAGATTTAGATTATTTAGATGAAAAAACACCTGCCAGCCACCGCGGTGAAGAGGAGGAGACCCGCCCAGAGGCTGCTGTTGAATTAAGTTTTCTGGTAGAAAAATAGAGCGGGGGCAAAACTGAGTATGTTTGTGCTTTATTCATGTATTTATTACAAAGTATTAATCAAACCCATCAAAGTCATCATCCTCTGTTTCTGAATTAAACAGCTGCGCTAAATCAGACATGCCAGTTTCCCATTCTTCGCTGTCAGAGTCACTTTCCGTGCAGCGCGGCTCCTCAGAAATAATGCTGGCTTTTGCGAAAGCTTGAACAACAGAGCCAGCAGACACGTTAGTCCAAGCATTTACAATCCATCCGCAAACGGTGGCGTAACTTGCCCGGCGCTGCCTTCCACTTATCCTGAAACTGTGGTCTCCGTCTGTCATCCATCGCTCCCACGCCGCTCACAGCCTTACTGTGAACGGCCGCTTCACACTGATGTCGAGCGGTTGAAGTTCCTTTGTCAGACCCCCGGGATAACGGCGAGCACAGCGTTCATTTGATTCACCTTTTTTTCACATCGGCTGTGAGATGGGCACGCAGCGATGGTGATGCGTGGAAAAAAGCACCTGGTCTCCTCACATACACCTGCCTTTCATCATCTTCTCATCCATCCAGCCTTTTTCATTTGCGTTAATATCATGTCATCAGAGCGCTGTGTCTGTCTCGCTGTCAGCTCCCAGATCAGCTTCTCTGATTGGTTGATGCGGCGTGTCCAGCAGCAAAACTTCAATTTTTCCATCTCGAGCAGCAGCAGCGCGTTGGCCGTGCGTCAGATGCTTAAACGCTCCCGACGCTGCACCTGCAGCTCAAAACGCGCTGCGGGACCTTTTGCTGCGCCTATACGCGCGTCAACCATTGACTTTGCATGTAAACTCGCTGCTTCTGCTGCACCTGCTGGGTCCGGTTCACACCGATGTCGAGCGGTTGAACAGCGAGCACAGCCTTAATTTGTTTCCCCATGTTTTTCACATCAGCTGTGAGATGGGCACGCATGGAGTTACATATTAACAGCGATGGTGATGAGTGGAAAAAAAAACACCTGGTCTCCTTACATTCAGCCACTCTTTCATCATCTCCTCAATGAGGTGGTCTCAAAAATCGCAGTTACAACACACATAAGGCGCACCGCACCATAGGGCGCACCGCACATTTTGAGGGAAAAAAAAGACGTTTAAGTGCGCCTTATACAGGTGCTGGTCATAAAATTAGAATATCATGAAAAAGTAGATTGATTTCAGTAATTCCATTTAAAAAGTGAAACTTGTATATTATATTCATACATTACATACAAACTCATATATTTCAGATGTTTATTTTGTTTAATTTTGATGATTACAAATGACAACAAATGAAAATCTCAAATTCATCATATCAGAAAATTAGAATATTACTGAAGACCAATAAAAACAAAGGATTTATAGAAATGTTGGCCAACTGAAAAGTATGAACATGAAAAGTATGAGCATGTACAGCACTCAGTATTTAGTTGGGCCTCCTTTGGCCTGTATTACTGCAGCAATGCGGCGTGGCAAGGAGTCGATCAGTCTGTGGCACTGCTCAAGTGTTATGATAGCCCAGGTTGCTCTAATAGTGGCTTTTAGCTCTTCTGAATTGTTGGGTCTGGTGTATTGCATCTTCTTCTTCACAATACCCCATAGATTTTCTATGGGGTTAAGGTCAGGAGAGTTTGCTGGCCAATTAAGAACAGGGATACCATGGTCCTTCAACCAGGTACTGGTAGCTTTGGCACTGTGTGCAGGTGCCAAGTCCTGTTGGAAAATGAAATCTGCATCTCCAAAAAGTTGGTCAGCTGCAGGAAGCATGAAGTGCTCTAAAACTTCCTGGTATGTGGCTGCGTTGACCCTGGACCTCAGAAAACACAATGGACCAACACCAGCAGATGACATGGCACCCCAAACCATCACTGACTGTGGAAACTTTACACTGGACTTCAAGCAACGTGGATGAAGTGCCTCTCTTCTTTTCCTCCAGACTCTGGGACCTTGATTTCCAAAGGAAATGCAAAATTTACTTTCATCAGAGAACATGACTTTGGACCACTCACCAGCAGTCCAGTCCTGTTTCTCTTTAGCCCAGGCAAGACGCTTCTGACGCTGTCTGTGGTTCAAGAGTGGCTTGACACAAGGAATGCGACAGCAGAAACCCATGTCTTTCATACGTCTGTGTGTGGTGGTTCTTGAAGCACTCACTCCAGCTGCAGTCCACTCTTTGTGAATCTCCCCCACATTTTTGAATGGGTTTTGTTTCACAATCCTCTCCAGGGTGTGGTTATCTCTCTTGCTTGTACACTTTTTTCGACCACATCTTTTCCTTCCCTTCGCCTCTCTATTAATGTGCTTGGACACTGAGCTCTGTGAACAGCCAGCCTCTTTAGCGATGACCTTTTGTGTCTTGCCCTCCTTGTGCAAGGTGTCGATGGTCGTCTTTTGGACAACTGTCAAGTCAGCAGTCTTCCCCATGATTGTGTAGCCTATAGAACTAGACTGAAAGACCATTTAAAGGCTTTTGCAGGTGGTTTGAGTTAATTAGCTGATTAGAGTGTGGCACCAGGGGCCATCAATTTTGAACCTTTTCACAATATTCTAATTTTCTGATATGATGAATTTGAGATTTTCATTTGTTGTCATTTGTAATCATCAAAATTAAACAAAATAAACATCTGAAATATATGAGTTTGTATGTAATGTATGAATATAATATACAAGTTTCACTTTTTAAATGGAATTACTGAAATCAATCTACTTTTTCATGATATTCTAATTTTATGACCAGCACCTGTAGTCGTGAAAATACGGTACATAGATAATTTTACAGATAGTATTTCATTAGTCTGTGTAGGGTATAGATTTCATGTAGACTTAAACAACTTGCCGTAGTTACTTTCGAGCGTAATGGGCGATCTCGCAATCGCTAGTTTGTTGGCTCTGCGCTGCCGTAGCGCAAAGATGTCTGCCTCCATGGCTGCGAGACCCGCTCCTATGTAATTATAAATAACGAATTCTAAGGCAACGCAAATATTAAGGTTAAGAGGCTGAGCTCGTAGATGATGATAAATAACATAGTTATGTATAATATATTACATTTCTGACTGTATATCCCTGTAATTATTACACACTGTAGCTTTAATATATGATTGGCTGAATTTAGGTGTTCAGGCTGACGTGTAACTGGCCTGCATAAGATAACAAAAAATATATATATATTTTAAGACAGATTTTTTTTTAAATAGAAATTTTCTAACTTTTAGGACGATATGGTCTGATAAAGAATAAATTTATATACATGTTTACGCCAGAATGATTTGACATTTAAATATGATTTCCCTACAACTCTAATGCTGAACTGGTATTACAGTTAAACTGGGGATCAAAGCTGAATGAGGCATTAAGGCTAAATTTGGTATTAAGGCTTAAATAAGAATCAAAGCTGAACTCAGTATTAACTTATACTCAGCATAAAATACTGAATTCTCAATAGGAAAGAAAATGATTCTGATTTCTTATTTCAACCGTAGCGTATATTAGTTGCGACATATGAATTAAGATGCTATGACTGAAAAAATTGGATTGCCAGATGACCTTTGATACATGATTGTCTGAATTTAGGTGTTCAGGCTGACAGATAACTAACTGGCCTGCATAAGATAAGAGGATTTTTTTTTTTTAAAGAGAGATTTTCTAACTTTTGGGACAATGCATTTATATACATGTTTAAGCCAGAATGATTCGACATTTAAATATGACTTCCCTACGACTTTAATTCATCTGACTTTATTGACTTCCTGGGTGATTTTCACCCAGGTGTCATCCTTTTTTATACTATTTACACTCTTTTTATATTGTCTGTCATATTTTTTTCTTTAATAGCATCTTGCTTTAACTCTTTGTTAAATAAGCTACCGGAACCAGAATTTCCCTGAAGCAATAATCTCAAGGGAAAAATAAAGCTGAGCCTAAAACTAAACGTTGGCAACAATGAGTGAAAGTGGGGTTCATCAGAAACATCCTCATAAAGACCGATACCTGCATATTGATGTTAACTTGCTGTAATTCCTAGGCTGAGAATATGCCCTTGATTACCGGGAAGCAACGAAAAGAACAAAAACGTGTAAGGAAATGACCTGAAGCAGGTGGTTTACAAAACTGGGTGCATGTTAAAAAACTAGTAAACTACTAGACTAGAAAACTCAACATGCTGGTTTATTTCATACCCAGTCAGCCTCCAATACTGGAGAAACAAACTACAGACGAACAGAGCAGCAGAGGGAGGCCAGGAACTCTAGTGCTTTATACACATATAGTATGGTAATCATCATGTATGCCAGCAGCTTCAGTGAAACAAAGCTGTGCCCGGTGGTTTGCAGTTTCCTTTGTGTTTAATCAAAGCTACCTGGGAAAGATTGACAGGTTCAAATTTGAGGAAGAGATGAGAATCCGACCCTGCATACAGCAACTCTCATTCATTAGAAGCAGGAGCAGACACCAAAAACACAGAAACCTCAGCGCAAGAGCTCCCCCTGCTGGACAACAACACTCCCAAACTGACCCATTCAGCACCACTCTGACCTTTAATGAAGAACCTGCAGATGGGCCGTGGTCTGATCTTCCTGTCTGATGGATCTTTGACCTCTCCTTCCTCCAGATCATCGTCCTGCAGAGACAGAAAGAATAATAACAAAAATCCCCATCAGCATCCAGCAAATGTTCAGTTTCTGCCCAAATATTTTAATTTAGTCATGGATTTTTGTAACATGGATAAATGGGGTCATAAAAAATAATTTTTTTATGAACTGTTTTTTCTCTACTTCCAAACTCAGCATCTCTTCATCCATTCCTGTAATAAGAAATTTCATTTGACTGGATTTGATTAAACTTTTGAGCCTCTCGGTATAAAACAAATATTTTGATCGAGATGAGAAATCTGCTTCCTGGTTTATTGAAGTACCAATAGTTTGCATCCAAATTATGTATGTAAACGGCTGTAGTTTTGGGGAAAATATAAGAATTATTCTCTAATTTGTAGTTACAGATCAGTCGTTACTATATTTTAATTAGACAAACCGGATCTTCTCGCCGTTCTTTTTCCTGTTTGGTGCGATTGCTGTTACGAATCTTGACCTGGCCGGACCGGAGCTAAAAGTAGCTCGGCTCTGTATTTTGAAGGTGACAGAGAGAGAAGATGCACGTGGTAGAAAGGAGGAGTAGCTGTGCATTTGGAGCAGTTCTCATTTTTGAACTTGACAGGCAAGTATTCCAAACGACATACGTCAGCGGAGCAGAGCACTGATGGAGGATTTGGAATCTGGGGGTACGGAGCTGTGCAGCAGTCTGCAATGCCTTGTGTTCTAGATCAATCCTGTTGAGATCCACCATTTTGGCTCGGTCCATCATCGCTGTAGCTGGTTAAAGGAATGAAGCAGACTTGAGCAGTAGCTCTACAGCGTTGGGCTACAGGAACTTCAGCTTCAAAAGGTGATGCGCTCGTTTAGTTGAGGGGAACCAAAGAAAAGTGGACCTTAAGACTTTCACTTGGTTCCCACACTGAGCAGCCGGAAGCTATGAACAGTAGCATTTAGAAGAAGCAGAATTCAAGTGAGATTCAGCAATAAGAGAGTGCTGATCTACATCTGGATTACTAACATCTACAGTCAGAGGTAGAAGAGGAGCAGCAGCTTCTCTGGGCTCCAGGTGCTGCTTTCATTGCCCTAAACAAGCATAAAAACTCTTCTCCAGCAGGTTTCTCTGGTTTTAAGGCTGATTTATACTCAGAAACCAGGTCGTCTGCGTGTGTCGCAATGAACGCAGATATACCCCCGCCCCTTCCACAGACACTCTGCTGTAGCTCTCCAAAATCGGAGGAGACTACAGACAGGAGGCCTCTGGTTGGTCAAATCTACATCCGCTCTACCCTATGCGTGTTTCCTGTTTGGTACCTTACCGGCTTGTTTTGTTTGTATGACCGCCATTGTAGAAAATGACTCGTGAAGATGGACCAGCTAGAAGAGCGAGGTGCGAGAGAACGCTGGGACCCTTTTTCCACCTGGATCCCCGCCCTTTTTCGCCCTCATCTCCCTCGGTTGTCGCACAAACTTGCCCCCACTTCCTCACCACCTTGGCCGTATCTAGACCCACAGCTAGTTCCTGATTGTCCCTCTTGCGTTGTGGCGTGGAATAACATAGCGCAGACCACACTTCAATACTGGGCATAAATCAAAAATATCTGCGACAAGCTCACTGTGACACTGCTGCGGGAGGATAACTAGCCCTTTAACGCTTCAAAGCAGTGCCTCATCAGCGTCTGAGTTGCTGTTGCTGCTCAAGCAGCAGCTGCTGGAGTTGGAAAATTGAAGTTGGAGAGCACTACAGCACTACAGAGCGCTATGATCACTCCTCTGAAACAGTTTATTTACGCCAAAATCAACTTGAAATGTCAAAACCTCCCAGCAAAATATGTTTGATTTTATCATTCTGGTGCCTTAAGATTGGATTATGTGCATGAAAACCGCTTTCCAGCCGCCTGGAGCTCGAGGAGGCCACAGGCTGCTGTTGAACGGGATTTCCGCTTGTAAAGCGGCTCCGACAGCGAAATAATGCTTGAAGGCAGGATGGTAATCTGGATGACCTGAATGCACAGATTTTCAGGTGGACTTTCTCACTTCCAAACATATTAAAACTACTTTTTACCCGCTGATCAAAGCAAATATATCAATGCTGCTCTCTGCCATTGAACAGCAGAAGCATTGGACACTCTTCAGGAGGGTCAAAGATGCCCTTGAGGCGCGTCAGACCTTAATGTGAACAAGAATAAAAAAATGACACAGCAGAATGTTTTTTTTGCTGCTTCCAATGCTTGTTGTCTGAACGTAGCAATGGAGCCAGCGGTGCCATACAAGGCTTATAAAAGACTCAAATTTTTGCAGCGCTAGGCAGATTTGTTTTTTTGGCTCTTTGAACAGTTTGGGTCGCTGACCCCTGCTTTAGATGCGCCTCTGCTCTGTCCAGCAGCAGGATAAAAGTCCCGCCAAGCAGCCAAACTTACTTCTATCTCTCCTTCATCGATCTCGCCATCGTCTTCATCCTTCTTCCTCTCTCTGAGCCTCTCCGACCCTTTGGAGCCCTCCAGACGCTTTGAATCGCCTCCTGGAGAAGGAGGGAGGATCGGTTTCTTCTCCTTCTTCTTCTTTTCTTGGTTCTCCTCCTCTTCCTCCTCTCCTCCTTCCACTTTGCTGTCTTCCTCCTCCTCCTCTTCATCATGAGCAGGTTCTTCAGGCACCTCCTCATCATAATCCAGTTCATGTTCATCCAGCTCACGGGAAACTGAGGCAGAGTCATCCTTCATCTCCCTCACCACTGCCCTCCTCATGTCCTCCTCCTCCTCTTCCTTGTTCCTATCCTCCTCTACCTCACTTGCATCCCGCTCTACAGAGGTGTCCTTCCTGTAGCCCCCATAGCCTTCGTCCCCACCTTCGCCATCTTCCTCGGACTCAAAGTTCTCCTTGTCCTGCTCTGGCTCCAGGTCCGGGGACTGCGGCGTGTCCAGGACCTCGTCCTCTTCCTCAGCCGCCCTCCGTCCCTGTGGATCATCTTCATCCCCCTCCATCAGCACAATGGTCTCGTCCTCCTGTCCCCTGTCTGCTTCTACAGGCTCCTCATCCTCTGGATCAGAGACAAAGTCGGGGACCACTTCGTCCTCCAAGTCTAATCTTCCTCCTTGCTCGTCATCGTCCTCCTCTTCTTCCTCCCCGGTCAGGCCTCCATTCTCCTCCTCTAGGAGCATTTCGCTGTCGGAGATGACTCCGCCTGCCTCGTCCTCAGGAGACGGCGGCAGCTCGCTGTCAGAGACGCCGTCCTGGGGGGACTGGATGGGGCTCTCAGGTGATTCCATGGACGACGATTCTGGTGGAGGAAGAAGACACAGTAGTCACCTGACCGACCAGAACAAACCACTGCGGACAGGTACATGTAGGGCAACACGGCAGAACATTATGACCACGACCGCCAAGGTCAGCCAGAAGAACCTGCGCACACTGAAGCCCGGGAGGTCCACTCCTTTAGATGAGCTAAACCTGCTGAAGGTGTGAAAACCCTCCCCTCCCTCCCCCAGAAGGTGGCCTGGCCTGAGTAATCATCCTCCTTCCACCTCATGGATGCTCTGGTCCATCTGCTGCCTGGAAACATGATGGCTGCCATGTCTGACAATGACCACCCACCCAGACCCCACACAGCCAAAGCTGCCAACCCTGACTGGAACCGTGTTCCCCATCAGCTCCTGTTTCAAAGGGACCAGGCACAGCTGACCCTAACCCTGAAGACCAGGAAGGTCTGAGTCCTTTGGAGCCATCAGGGCTTATTTATTGTCTCCAAAGGTCTCTGAGGAAGGGAATCAGCTGAAGTAGGGTGGGTCAGCCCAAGACTCAAAAGGTGCCAACAGATAAACAGAGATGTCAGCTAAAGCTGTGAAGCTTCAGATGGTTCCCGGCATCCAAGTCCGTCCCAAAGCTGCTCCTGACCACCTCTTGCTCTGCATCAGAGGCACGGAGCGGCAGACCTGAACCTCAGAGATGAGCCCAGCAGTATGAAGACCACCGGGACCATGTGCGCCTACCAGTCATTAAGGGCATAAAGCAGCACAGAGAAGTTCTTCTAGATATCTTCCTTGCACAGTGGATAATTTCCTACTAATGCACAACATTTCAAACAGTGTAAGAAAAACAGCAACTAGTTACCCTAATGCTACCCTGATGTGAAAATGTAAGGTAATGTTCTGCAAGTTCTTCTGACAGCTGGAAACCAGAATGACTTCAATGAAATCAGACAGTCCAGATGTTCCTCCTGAGCAGGGATCCAAACCTGTATACACCTACCAAAGCCCTGAGAAGACCACACTAGGAAACTTTAGGAATTAGTGGAGCCTAAATGTTCAATCTGATCCCATCATGCATGATTTTTGTTTTTTTCGCTGCAAAGTGCAAGAAACAAGCATTGGCTTCAGGCTGTTAGCCGTGGGCTGCAGGTTCCAGCTCACAGCTCAACCTTCAGCCTCCAATCAAACAGGCTGTATGTCTGTGAAAGCTACACATGATGTCGTGCAGCGAAAACAGTCAGTAACACTTACAATGGCTGCTGGTCAAGCTAGCTTAGGCCCAGAACCTGGAGTCGCACAGACAGACTGCTAACCGAACCCAAACAGCCCGGACCGAACCGCAAACGTCCTCCAGGGTAAGGAACATGTAACCGGTCGAGCTTAACGACTTAGAAACGAACTTTCTGTAGACTTCGTCGCGGAAAACTCGTCATCTTCATGTTAACGTTGTAGCATCACTGGAGCTAGGCTAACGGCTAACTAACAGTTTGTTTTTTTTTCAGTCACCTTTCTGACCCGGACTTCTTTACTGACGGATCTGCAGCGATAACGACAGCCCCTCCCACTGGTACCGGAGTACCGCTCTACGGTCACTTTATTCCCGCTCTAACTTCAGCCGCTGTGGCAGAGGGCAGAAACGTTCAGAAATGAGCGAGCAGCAGCAGCGGCCATTAGCACCGCGTCATCCACAGACGACGGAGCGGAGCGGGAAAAGAGGAGGAGTCAGACCGAGCAGGAGAGCTGGTCTGAGATCAGTTTAACTGGAACAGATCGCAGCACGACATCCGGAGCTCAAGACACTAAATCTTCTTCTTCTTCTCTTCTATTATGGCGGATCACAAGCAACTTTAAGGTGCATACCGCCACCTACTGTACATGAGTGTGTAGCAGCGTTACTTCACATCTATTAGATTCTATTTTTTAATTTTGTATTCTTAAGATACAAAAACAATGCTTTCCTTAGTTTATGAATATCTGTTATGTTTCCTTCATTTCCTAATATTCCTTTAAGATTCCATTCATGCCCTATACTTCTAACTATTCTCTTTAATTTTTCCCTTTCGTGTTCATATAACTTACAGTTCATCAGTATGTGTTCTACATTTTCTTTTTCACCACATTTCTCACATTTCTCACTATTTTTCCTCCCTATTAAGTAAAGCATGTCATTTAAGTAGGTATGACCTATTCTTAATCTACTAACTATTATTTCTTCTCTTCTGTTTCTTTCATTAATGTTTCGAATTCGAACTGACTTTTGCACTTCATATAATCTTCTTCCTTTCCTATCTTCGTTCCATATTTTTTGCCATTCCTCCATTTCTTTACTTTTAATAAGTGATTTCCCTTCCCCTTTTCCAAAAGGAATTGAAATCGTTATTTCCCCCTCTAAAGCCCTTTTAGCTAATTTATCTGCCTTTTCATTGCCTTTTACTCCTTCATGTGCCGGCACCCAACAAAACCAAACATCAATGCCACCCCTATATAGTCTAAATAAAATATGATGAATTTCTAATACCAAATCTTTTCTATTATTTCCTTCTCCCTTAATACTTTCCACTACTGCTTTAGAGTCTGTGCACACCACCACCCTGATTGGTCGAATCTCCTCCACCCATTGCAAGCCTAATATAACTGCCACCATTTCTGCTGTAAATACCGACAATTGATCTGATATTCTTTTGTGAATACATTTTTTAAACTCTGGGATATATATTCCTATACCCACATAACCTTTTAGATTTTTAGAACCATCTGTATAAATTTTAAGGTAATTATTATATGTAGTTCTTAAATAAATATCAGTTTTTATCCCTATTTCATTTATATTCCAATCATTTTTCATTGTATTGATTTGCAAATCTACATTAACCTCAGGTATTAGCCATGGAGGAATAACGCTAATTGGGTTAAATTGAGCTATTTCCTTGTCTTCTAGTCTATACTTTTTAATCCATTTCCTAACCATCCATCCGAATCCATTACTTTGGAACTTCACATATTCCCAACAATTTTGCAGAATAGTTGAATTCACATGATTATCTATATTACTTTTAATTTTCATCCAATATGCTAAAGCTAATTTAATTCTCCTCATTTCAAGTGGAGTTTCCCCACTTTCAATTAATAGAGCATTAATAGGTGTTGTTTTTATTGCTCCTGTACATATTCGTAAAGCCCTACACTGTAATCTTTCTATTTTTTGTAATGATGTTTTAGCTGCTGCTCCATATATAATGCTGCCATAATCTATTATTGCTCTCATTAGAGCCCTGTATATGCTTAATAATGACTGTCTATCTGCCCCCCAATTGTTTCCAGCCACAGCCTTTAATATATTAATAACTTTTTTACATTTGGTTTCTAAGTTATCTATATGTGTTTTCCATGAGTAAGAACTGTCCAACCATAAACCTAGATATTTATATTCTGTTACTCTTTCTAAAGTCTGTCCATATAATGTTATTGTTTCTATATTAATATTTCTCTTCTTTGTGACAACCATATAGCAAGATTTGGTTGCTGATAATTTGAAACCCCATTCATAAGACCATTTTTCAACTTTACTAATTGCTTTTTTAATATTTTCTACAATATTTTTCCCTTTCATATAGTGCAGATTTTATACATTTATCAGTTTCATAGAAAATATCATTGATCATAATATTAAATAAAATTGGACTAATTACACTACCTTGTGGTATTCCATTTTCAACATTATATTCATTTGAATAGTCATTCCCAATTTTTACTCTTATTTTTCTATTTAGTAGAAAATTTGCTATCCAATTATACATTCTCCCACCTATTCCCATCTGTTTCATTTTTATAAGTAATCCTTCTTTCCATAGTGAGTCATATGCTTTTTCTATGTCAAAAAATACTATAATCATTATTTCCTTCATTTTTAAAGCTTTCTCTATGTCATTACTGACTCTAGTTAGAGCATCGATTGTTGATCTTCCAGTTCTGAATCCACATTGATATCCATTTATTAGATTATTCTTCTCAAGATAGTATCCTAATCTATTAACCATTATTTTCTCCATCCATTTACTTAAATGGGAAGTAAGAGCAATTGGTCTGTAATTATTTGGATAGGAAGGATCTTTACCTGGCTTATTAAATGGTAAAATTATTGCCCTTTTCCAACTATTTGGTATTGTTCCTTCTTTCCATATTTTATTAAATAATTCTAATATTAATTTCAGTGTTACTTCCGGAATCTGTCGAAACATAGCGTAACATAACTGGTCTTCCCCTGGAGCTGAATACCCTGTCCCTTTCAATACTGTTTTTATTTCTTTCATGGTTATATTCATATCCAATGTTGACATATATTTTTGACATTTTTCTAGTGAGTTTTTATGATTTCCAAGTTTTTGAATCATCTGCCTTCTGTGGGTATTTGTCAAGTGATCACCACTATGAACTGCCGCAAATGTCTCTCCTAATAACTCTGCCTTATCTTTATTTAAAACCAATACCTCCTGTCCTCTGACTAAGGATGGAATATTGACATTGTTCTTTTTCCCCGTCATTTTTCTAAACATTGACCACACATTCTGTAAATTAACTTCTGAACCTAATGATGAACAATAGTCTCTCCACGTTTTCTTTTTTGCATCCTTTATAGTTTTCCGAGCTTTTGCTCTTTTCCTTTTATAATCAATAAGGTTTTCGATTGTTAGATTTTTCTGTTGTATTTTAAAAGCTTTATTACGATCTTTAATAGTTTTACTGCATTCATTATTCCACCAAGGAACTACTTTCTTCTGACCTTTCACTTTTATTTTTGGTATGCTGTAATTTGCAGCATTTAGAATATTTTCTACTATTTGATTTGTACACTCTTCAATATTACCTTTTAATGTTACTATATGTCTTGTTTCTTCACATTTTGTTTTAAATTTAAACCAATCAGCTTTATTAAAGCACCATCTTATTAATGTAAACTCTTCTTGTCTATTTATATTATCATTAATTATTGTACTCACTGGAAAGTGATCACTCCCTAGTGTAGATTCCCCATTTACATCCCATTCACATGCACTAACAAGACAGTCAGATACTAATGTAATATCTAGACATGAGATTGAATTTTTATGTATATTTATTCTTGTACCTTTTCCATTATTAAGACAAACTAATGACCTTTCATCCATTAATTCTTCCACTATTTCACCATTATGATCCGTTTTCTTGCTACCCCATAGACTGTTGTGAGCATTAAAATCTCCACACCAAACTTCTCTTCTATGTATTTTCCCTATTTCCTTAAATATTTCATTATCTAGATTTTTACACGGATTATAATAATTAATGATTTTAATATTTCCTTGTTTCCTTAAATTAAATATTTCTATATTTACACATTCTATTTTTTTATTTAATGAGTTTTTCTTGTAAGCAATTCCTTCCTTAATTAAAGTGGCACATCCTCCGCCACTACCATTACTTCTATCCTGTCTTTCTATATTATATCCAGGAATTTTAAAATCGAAGTTTGAGTTTAACCATGTTTCTTGTATACATATTACATCTGGTATTACTTCTAATTCATAAATATACTTTTTAAATTCTTGTCCATTAGCTATTATACTTCTGGCATTCCATTGTAGAATATGAATGACCATCAATAAAGCTTGTATCCTAATCCTGACCATTTTCTGTTATTTCAGTGGCACTCAAAATGGTATGTATTTGATCTGCTTGAATTTCTTTCATATCTAGGAATCTCCCTGCTGCTGTTACTATTTCTTTTATTTTATCACTTTTCTTCTTCATTTGGACTGTAACATTAATAACATGACATATAAATGCTACAAAGTTTTCTTTTTTCACCATCATTGTATTTTCCTCTATTTTACATTTATGTAAACATGTATTATTTGTATTTGTTGTTGGCATTAGTATTTGTCTCTGACCATTCATTCCTTGATTTGTGTTCTGAGAAGTGTAACTTTGATCTGCTTCTCCCAGCCTCATTCCTCTTTTACTATCTTTCTTTATTCTTTTTAATGCTTCTGCGTAAGAAACTCTTTCTGTTATCTTTATTTTCTGGGCTTCTCTAGCTTCCCTTTGAACTATACATCCACCATAGGCTGCACTATGCTCACCACCACAGTTACAGCATTTGATTTTGGCGTCTTTGTCACACTTTCCAAATTCATGTGGTCCTCCACATCTTGCACATCTAATTTTTCCCTTACAATCTTTTGCAATGTGTCCCATTCTTTGGCAGGTAAAACATCTGAGCGGTTTCGGGATGTACTCTCTAACTTTATAGTTCATTAATCCTAGCTGTATATTTTCTGGCATGTTATTTTCAAACTGCAATATCACAGCCATAGTGTCTTTGAGTTCCCCTTCTCTTCTGCTTTTAATCCTGGTGGCATTTGTTATTTTCCCTCCTTTGATTTCATTCTTCACCTCCTCCATTGTCATTTCAAGTGGAACTCCTGAGATTACTCCTCTC